TGGGTTTGTACCTTGGCAATAACTCTCCTGAATTAGACACACTTTCTTTTTTACTATTTCTTCCGTGTTATGAATATTCACAGTGGAGAGTTATTGCCTGCCAAGTGGTTGTTCTGGTATCCACACAATAAAAAATAATAGTTCTTCAAATTTCCAACCTCAATTTATCAGTAGCGTTTTTTCCGTCATTCTCAATTTCTCTCGGTAAAGCAGTCTGAATAGATAACGACAAACAAACAAACCCATAAATGAGGTTTCAAGTGCGAACTGTCGCACATTTCTCTCTTCCCCTGCGTTCTCTACTATTCGCCCCATTGACTTGGCCTGGGTGAATGTCGGCAGATGGGAGTGTACGAGAGACGAGCGGACGATGAGACAGCATCGCTTCTCGGCTTAATAGCTAAGATCAAAGTGTAGTATCTGTTCTTATCGTATTAACCTACGGTATACAATCGAATGATTGTAATATAGGTTATCTGATTTTTGGAACTCTGGAAGTACTCGGGGCTTGCTCCGACCTTCCGAGGGTCGTCTCAGCGTTGCACTGCTGCTGAGCACGGCCCAGTCCCCCCATGGGGACAATCAAAAAATAAATTATATCGATAATCCCGAATGGGTCACCAATGTCTGACAATTAACTCTCACCAGACACTTTGTGGCAACAAATATGAATAAATCCGCCCTTATTGGTAGAAAAATGCATCAAAGCGAATTGAACAGGTTACTTTGATGCCTAATTCAAAATTCGTACTGTAGAATGCATAGCGGTAACGGATTGCTGAAGTTCGCGCTTACATTTCGAGCAGTTTTTTTTGACACTGATAATTTATTTTGGAATCCCTGAATGTTTCGGATTTTCACCGGATTCTCATTCTCCGAAGATATTTGGATTTCTTTTCCGACATTCTTCTGTCTACACGGAAATCTATCGTTCGTTTTCAAACAATTCATGTTTTTTTATGCGACAATTGAAATTCCAAGGGTTTCCCGAATACGGAAAAAGCGGCACGGCCTCATAAAAGTAGGCAATAGGTGTGCTGTCCGCAGATGAATTTCAATAAGAATTTTCTCACATTGATAGATAAGATCGGTTTCGTGCCATGTGCAAACCTCTCTTTCTCCCTCCGAATTCTCTAACATATTACTCATCGACTCGGCTAATCGAATAATTGTAGGTTATCAGATTTTTGCTTGAGAAAATGATGAGAGGCCGGAAAACAAGCGATAAGCAATTTTTCTATTTAAATGCGGTCGATAACCAAATAAGGGAAATATTCTCGTGGAGATGTTCATTTCAATGGAAATGGTCGACGATAGCGCGCGTTCGAAATGGTAAGATTGTCCGCAGTTGGATTTTATTAAATAGAAATACATCTAAGGAAGCACTATTTTCTTCTTCTGGCTCACGGTTTAACATCGGTGCTTCACATTGCATTCCTCATTTTGATTTCAATTATTTGGAATTACGCCAGGTCGTGGCAACTTTTCACATTTCTAGGTATAAATTCAACACTAATTAGTATATAATTAACGCCTAATTATAGACGGCTGCATAATTTTAATGACTGTTTTCCTAATCATCTTCGCCTTTATAACATTTCATCATTTCAAAGGCAATCATTCAAAAACTTACTACATATTGAGATAGTACGTTCATTTTTCTCATCCCAATCCCATCTGCGGACATTTTCCCGCGATTTTGCAGCTATCCAACAATTCACATCATTTTCTCGGCGCTTTTTCAAATGCTCACACAAATTCTATTGGTGAACGAATCGATTGGATCGGCTCATTCAATGGTAACGAGCTGCGGACGTCTTTGCGGGCCCCGCAATAATGTCCGCAGATAAATTTTTTGAATAACGTCGATTCTGCATTTCTTACATCGATAAATTAGTTTTCGGGACAAGACACATTTCCAATTTTGGCAATTTTATTTTCAGAGCGGCTCCCTATTGACGTCAGTATACGCGTGTGCCTCAATTGTGGTCCACTTATGGCTATACCATATGTATTAATACTAATAATTATAATATTTGAACGTTGCCATAATAAATGACTAGTTTTTTTTGCCAATGAAAGTCAACCCAACCCAACTTGGTGCAGCAGGCTCGATTATTGTCCGCAGCAAAAAAATGTTGATTTTCATTCTTGCCAATGGAAGTCCCAGTAATTAAAAACAAAGCAATGTCACTTCACTTAGTCACATAGTCGGTTCGTCCTTTGCCTGTTGAGGCGCGAACCACAGCTTTCCAAGCTTTTCGGTCCTTGGCTTGGGTGGACCAGGGGGTGATAACGGCTCATTCGGCTGTTCTTGTGGTGATCTCCTTCCGAAGCGAGTCCGACCATCTCATGGGAGGCCTTCCTCTTGGCCGGGTCCAATTCCACGGCCGCCACTCCGTTAGAAGAGTAGTCCATCTACCATCTGTTCTTCTAGCAAGCCCAGGTCATCTTCCTCTTCGTGATGTGGTGTAGGGGGTCCCGAACTTTAGACATGATGCGGAAGTCCTCTCGATGAAGATCTTGTTCACGTTGTTGTGATAACGTGAGGCCAACCAATCTTCGCTCAAGCGCAGCGTGACTAATTCGGACTCTTTCGGCAAGAGCTTTGGTGAAGGTCCAAATTTTAATAAGGTTGATTCCGTATTTTCTCACATTGATATGAAAGGACGATAGAAACCCATAAACGTTGCAAGTGTGAACTGTCGCACATTTCTCTCTTCCCCTGCGTTCTCTACTATTCGCCCCATTGACTTGGCCTGGGTGAATGTCGGCAGATGGGAATGTACGAGAGACGAGCGGTCGATGAGACAGCATCGCTTCTCGGCTTAATAGCTAAGATCAAAGTGTAGTATCTGTTCTTATCGTATTAACCTACGGTATACAATCGAATGATTGTAATATAGGTTATCTGATTTTTGGAACTCTGGAAGGACTCGGGGCTTGCTCCGACCTTCCGAGGGTCGTCTCAGCGTTGCACTGCTGCTGAGCACGGCCCAGTCCCCCCATGGGGACAATCAAAAAATGAATAGAATCGATAATTCCGAATGGATGACTAATGCCTGATGATGAACTCATATGTTGCCTTATAAATTACCAGCAAATGAATCTCTTAAGAAAATAGTTGGTCGTTGATTGAAAACGAATTATCGATATCGCTGGGGTATCCCCGCATTGAGGGAACGAACAAGCTCATTCAAACAAAAAATATATTCAGAGCCATCATAAATAATCTTTAAAAAAAATTAGAGTTAATCAAGTCTCAATAAATTCTAAAAAATCTTGATAAATTTCATAACAAAAAAGCAATTTTTCATGATTTTTTTAAAATATTTTCTGAAAGTTATTGGAAGGAATATTTTCGATCGTTTGATTGATTGTTTCTATTATAAAATGCTCACATTTTTTGCGAAATTAATAATTCAAAAATTCCGATGTGCGAGAAGAATTCAAATCGAAATTTCAATTTCCTGAATTTTTTCTGTTTATTGTCTCCATTTTTTCCCAAAATCTGTGCAATTCCGATGACGTGATAAATTCCGGTAGATCGTTCGGAGATACCAGCTTCTTCATCTTCCTCGCCGAAATGACGTCAAGTATTTAAACGGTATTTTTCGATGGCAAAATGCGATAAAAATTAGTAGGCACAATTGAAATGAGCGGCCATCAAACGACGAGCTATTTTTTAATATTCCTCTTCATTTTTGTCGCGAATTCTCAAATGTAAGCGAATTTTCGAAAATTCCGAATGAACAAAATCGTTCAGAACACCCGGAAATAATCTTCACGCATTTCTAACATCCTCATACTATTATCCAAAATCGCAAAGGTCTGAAATCGGCTGAAAAAATCGAACGTCGAAAATGTTGTTTCAGTCTCGGCGATGATTCGATCGCGTTGGTTTTTTCGATGAGATCCGAGTCGATTCGACGACAATCCCAAATTTTGACGATTTTTGCCGAAAATCACACCTCGGAATCTGAAATTGCCGGTTGAGCAAATGCGCTCCATTGAACTCAATTCGAATTTCGACTTTTTGTTTCTTTTGAAACATTCCAAAAAATGTTAGAATTTCAGATCTTTCAAATTCTTATGTCGATTTTGTGGGACCCCGAATTGATAGCGTCTAAAAAGGTTTTTCAAAAGGTCGAAACGTTGCGAATCCAAAAGAATTTGAAACTATTGCAAAGAAAATGCGCTCCATTGCGATTAAGCTTCGAAAAACCCCGTTTCCCGGAAAATTCGATTTTTTATAATTTTATGCATTTTCCAGAAATACTGTACAGGGTCGGGCATAATTACCGGTAATTTTGTTGCGCCATGGTGACTCATGAAGTCGCGGTTTTTTGAGCGCTCACAATTTTTTCCAGTTGTTTAATGTGTTTTCTATTGTTTTTCCAAGTTTCGGACAAAAATACAAATTTCCGGCCAAATGGTAAAGGCTAGTATCCATCGTGTCACTGTTTGCTCGCTATTCGATCAAGGAGTCAAAATTCCCATTATCATCAAGCGCCTCAAACTCCCTCTGAACCAGGGCTGTGCGGCAATCGGAAATTTCGGCAATTCGGCAATTTGCCGATCGAACGTTCTCTTCGGAAATTCGGCAATTTCGGCCAATCGGAAATTCCATTGCCGCACAGCCCTGCTCCGAATACCGTTTATTCGACGATTCGACGCTATCAGGAGACTGGAGGACTTGATGACAGGTCTGGGAGAGGATGAAAAGTTTCTGTTGTGAGCACGCTCACGTAAACTATTGTAATCTCGTAGGTTATGGAATATTCTAGAACCCAGTCCCTCACGTAAACAATCCCACACGCACATTGTAGAACATTCTAGAAGCACATCCCCACTAGTATAAATACCCGGCCATCATACATTGTAGTGTTCATCTAAGGATATAATAAAGCTATCCAACTCTACATCACTGTTCACTTCGATCCCCACGCTTCGGCACCATACACGCGGAACTCAAGGACACAACAGTTTCTGTTACGACTCTAGCTAAGGTGAAAGCCGTGAAGGAACGAGTGAGACGAAACGCTCATCGGAGCCTCACAACGATGACTCATGAGATGGGAATGTCCCGAAGATCGAAGAACAACTATATGTTTCATATTATCCAGATAAACTTTTAGCTGAATCTCAACTTGTTCTGACTTTTACTTTTTGAAATACTTCCGTTTGAACTTCTACCGGTAATTATGCCCGACCATAATATAAAAATGAAAAGCTCTCCGATTTTACCTCAATTTTCTGTTGGCCATCAAGCAAACTCAATTTGGTCATATTTGGAAGTGTTGAAGTTGTCGGAAATATTGGAAACGTCGTCTTCCCATTCGGAATTTCAATTCTACAATTCATTGTTTGCCTTAAAAATATTCAAAAAACGCTCACGTTGTGTTGATTGTCGCGTTTGAGGTGTGATTTTCGGCAAAAATCGTCAAAATTTGGGATTGTCGTCGAATCGACTCGGATCTCATCGAAAAAACCAACGCGATCGAATCATCGCCGAGACTGAAACAACATTTTCGACGTTCGATTTTTTCAGCCGATTTCAGACCTTTGCGATTTTGGATAATAGTATGAGGATGTTAGAAATGCGTGAAGATTATTTCCGGGTGTTCTGAACGATTTTGTTCATTCGGAATTTTCGAAAATTCGCTTACATTTGAGAATTCGCGACAAAAATGAAGAGGAATATTAAAAAATAGCTCGTCGTTTGATGGCCGCTCATTTCAATTGTGCCTACTAATTTTTATCGCATTTTGCCATCGAAAAATACCGTTTAAATACTTGACGTCATTTCGGCGAGGAAGATGAAGAAGCTGGTATCTCCGAACGATCTACCGGAATTTATCACGTCATCGGAATTGCACAGATTTTGGGAAAAAATGGAGACAATAAACAGAAAAAATTCAGGAAATTGAAATTTCGATTTGAATTCTTCTCGCACATCGGAATTTTTGAATTATTAATTTCGCAAAAAATGTGAGCATTTTATAATAGAAACAATCAATCAAACGATCGAAAATATTCCTTCCAATAACTTTCAGAAAATATTTTAAAAAAATCATGAAAAATTGCTTTTTTGTTATGAAATTTATCAAGATTTTTTAGAATTTATTGAGACTTGATTAACTCTAATTTTTTTTAAAGATTATTTATGATGGCTCTGAATATATTTTTTGTTTGAATGAGCTTGTTCGTTCCCTCAATGCGGGGATACCCCAGCGATATCGATAATTCGTTTTCAATCAACGACCAACTATTTTCTTAAGAGATTCATTTGCTGGTAATTTATAAGGCAACATATGAGTTCATCATCAGGCATTAGTCATCCATTCGGAATTATCGATTCTATTCATTTTTTGATTGTCCCCATGGGGGACTGGGCCGTGCTCAGCAGCAGTGCAACGCTGAGACGACCCTCGGAAGGTCGGAGCAAGCCCCGAGTCCTTCCAGAGTTCCAAAAATCAGATAACCTATATTACAATCATTCGATTGTATACCGTAGGTTAATACGATAAGAACAGATACTACACTTTGATCTTAGCTATTAAGCCGAGAAGCGATGCTGTCTCATCGACCGCTCGTCTCTCGTACATTCCCATCTGCCGACATTCACCCAGGCCAAGTCAATGGGGCGAATAGTAGAGAACGCAGGGGAAGAGAGAAATGTGCGACAGTTCACACTTGCAACGTTTATGGGTTTCTATCGTCCTTTCATATCAATGTGAGAAAATACGGAATCAACCTTATTAAAATTTGGACCTTCACCAAAGCTCTTGCCGAAAGAGTCCGAATTAGTCACGCTGCGCTTGAGCGAAGATTGGTTGGCCTCACGTTATCACAACAACGTGAACAAGATCTTCATCGAGAGGACTTCCGCATCATGTCTAAAGTTCGGGACCCCCCTACACCACATCACGAAGAGGAAGATGACCTGGGCTTGCTAGAAGAACAGATGGTAGATGGACTACTCTTCTAACGGAGTGGCGGCCGTGGAATTGGACCCGGCCAAGAGGAAGGCCTCCCATGAGATGGTCGGACTCGCTTCGGAAGGAGATCACCACAAGAACAGCCGAATGAGCCGTTATCACCCCCTGGTCCACCCAAGCCAAGGACCGAAAAGCTTGGAAAGCTGTGGTTCGCGCCTCAACAGGCAAAGGACGAACCGACTATGTGACTAAGTGAAGTGACATTGCTTTGTTTTTAATTACTGGGACTTCCATTGGCAAGAATGAAAATCAACATTTTTTTGCTGCGGACAATAATCGAGCCTGCTGCACCAAGTTGGGTTGGGTTGACTTTCATTGGCAAAAAAACTAGTCATTTATTATGGCAACGTTCAAATATTATAATTATTAGTATTAATACATATGGTATAGCCATAAGTGGACCACAATTGAGGCACACGCGTATACTGACGTCAATAGGGAGCCGCTCTGAAAATAAAATTGCCAAAATTGGAAATGTGTCTTGTCCCGAAAACTAATTTATCGATGTAAGAAATGCAGAATCGACGTTATTCAAAAAATTTATCTGCGGACATTATTGCGGGGCCCGCAAAGACGTCCGCAGCTCGTTACCATTGAATGAGCCGATCCAATCGATTCGTTCACCAATAGAATTTGTGTGAGCATTTGAAAAAGCGCCGAGAAAATGATGTGAATTGTTGGATAGCTGCAAAATCGCGGGAAAATGTCCGCAGATGGGATTGGGATGAGAAAAATGAACGTACTATCTCAATATGTAGTAAGTTTTTGAATGATTGCCTTTGAAATGATGAAATGTTATAAAGGCGAAGATGATTAGGAAAACAGTCATTAAAATTATGCAGCCGTCTATAATTAGGCGTTAATTATATACTAATTAGTGTTGAATTTATACCTAGAAATGTGAAAAGTTGCCACGACCTGGCGTAATTCCAAATAATTGAAATCCATCTGCCGACATTCACCCAGGCCAAGTCAATGGGGCGAATAGTAGAGAACGCAGGGGAAGAGAGAAAGATGCGACAGTTCGCACTTGCAACGCCATTTATGTATTTCTTTAGTATTTTCATATCAATGTGAGAAAATTCAGAATCAACCTCATTAAAATTCACCTGCGGGCATAATTGCGGGCCTGCAAAAACGCCCGCAGCACATTTCAATTGAATGAGCAGATCCATTGCAGATATTTATTGATAATCGATGTCAGGACAACCAGAAAGATTGAAAGAAACACAATTATTTCAAATATGCCAATATTTGCTCATATCACTCAAAATCATAATAACTAATGAAATCTGGTCGCACGAATTGCTATTGTGCTCATCGAAAGTCCTTCCCGTGATTCCGGGTTCCCGAAAAGTCGTAGGCAACGTCCTCACCGGCGTCACCAGTTCACTTTCAAAGCTGTGGCAACAAGCGATTAATTTCTAAAATTAAAAAATCAATTTTCCCTTCGCAATTTTTTTCTGCTTGCAATCAATGAATTCTTAGCTGAAATAAAATAAAAAGTAACACTAAAAGACGATTTGGCACTAATTTATGAAGGCGTTAGAATTTTGATCTATCATTTTAATTTTTATGGGCGAGTTTAGATATAAAAGACGAATTGCAAAGGAAATGCTGTGAATAAAAAAAATAAAAATATTATATTTTTTCAAATTTGGTCATTAAAAAACGCTAAATAAATTTTAAAAAAACAGAATAAATAGGGATTAGAAGATAGTTCTGATCCTTTTTTCAGCAGTACGGATAGTTTTCACGACATGGAGACATCATTCTCTGTTAACTCAAAACTAATCGAATCCGTTTGGAAATTCTACGGACAAGATTGTAAAATTGTCGGATCCGATTGTTTTTGAGTTACCCGAATTCCTAAACAAGAATATTAAAATAACGTTCTATAAATGGGCATACTTCACTTAAAAATCAGACGCGCTTCAGAAATGCTTTTGAACGGCAAACTGAAATGCAGATTTGGACATTTGAAATGTTTGAAATGAAAAAAAAAATAATTGGTTTCCGAATCTGTGAACGTGATCGAGATATGTCATCACGAATGCACATTTCTATTCATTACGCTTAAATTCATCGAAAAAGAATGATGTCGAATTTCCAAAAGCGAAAGAGCACGAATGCTCAAGAAGAAATTGTGATCCCGAAGAAGCGAGTATGCTTCCGAGAGTGTGTGAAAGAGGTTCACCTCGAAATTATCGAAGGTGCGCCTTATTTTTTTATATTTTTATCGTTGTTTTCTCGAGTCCTCCGTCTTTAAACAAATAATTCAAAGCATTTCAATTCGGCATTTTTGAGATTGATTTGAATTTGAAAATAATACAATACTTAATTGACAACTTTTTATCGAGAAAACAACATTTTTTTATTATTGGGGGTGTTGGGGCAAAAATAATACAATAATCAGAATATAATTGAATGAAATTGGAAAGGGCGGGGTTTAGAGGTCCAATCATATTCAAAAAATATGAAAAAAATCGCATTTTTGGTGCGTCGCTTTTTTGGAGCGAATTTATACGGGCTGTTTATAACAATTTGTAAAATTAGGTACGGGTAATTAAAGGGGTTGGAAGGGTAGTATTATTAAGGGAAAGGGCATGGTGATATTGAAAAATTGTTGATTCAAATATTCTGATTGACTCAGTTGTTTGGGCGGTTCATCCTTGGCCTTTAACGACTTTGAAGGCGACTTGTTAGAGATGGATTCCGAGTTTCTTCGTCTCGTTTTTGGATTCTTCGTCGTTTCTCGAATTTTGTCAATCTTCCGTGTTGTTTCCGTGTATTCTGTCCTGCGATATCGCCTTTAAAGTCGTTTAAAGGCATAAAAAAATGGTCACATGAATTTTGGTTTTAAGGTCCAAAAATTGGACGAAAACGCACGCGAACGACCGGCGGCTTCGTTGAAGTCCAGTTCAAGAAGCTGAAGGATGCGCCAGAACATCCGCAGCCACCGATCGTCTTCAGCCAAGAGGAAATCGAGCAAACTTTTGGCCCGGAGGACGAGTCGATGTATGAGCCGGAGCCGGTCGTCCCCCTGTGCTCGTCGCATTGTTCAGAAGCCACAGGGTGCTCCGAGACCTGCCCCTGTCTTCTGGACGAGGTGCAATGCGACGGCACTTGCCCATGTCTGCCCAGCAACTGCAACAACCACAACACCATGCGGTTGCTGGCCGAATATCGAGCGCGTCGGGAACGCAGGGAGAGGCTCGTGACGGCCAACGCAGAATGGGCGGCGTTCGATGCGGCGGAAGACCGAGCCCCGCTGATGGTCGTGTCGGAGGAGGCGGCGGAAGAGATGGAGGCGGCTGAGGAGATGAAGGCGATGGAGGCGGAATGCAGCGTAGAACAGTCAGGACAGACGGAGTCTGTGAATGTTCAGGAAGAGGTGGTGGTCACCAATTTAGAGTCGATGCACTTTCATCCCGAATTGATGGGCGCGTTGCGAGGTCTCATCACCGATGACGACCTGCCCACGGGATACCAGACCTATTTAACATCTGGCGCTGTGACGGCCGGGCTCTTGAACCTGGTGCAGTCGCAGGGCCGCAAGGTCGGTGTGGTCCTTCCGTCGGCCACGAAAGCAGTCATCGAGCGGACGGTGGACGAGGACGGCCAGCATGTCGCCGCCATGCTAAAGGAGTGTACGGCCGGAGTCCGAAGGCAATGCGAAGTGCTCCTCCTGCCAGTGCACCAAGATCAGCACTGGCTGCTCGCGGCCTACACAGTG